AACTGTAAGATAATACAGTTGTGTTGTTTTTAGCCTCCAAGTTTATCGTGCTTTGCTACAGCAGCCATAGGAAACTAATGCAGTGACACATGCCACTCAAAGGCCACACCATAAGGCCCCCACACCATGGCCTACACTTGCTGTCCCCTCTGCAGAGGCCACATGTTGAGATGGCAGAGTCGCATGGCAGGAAGGACCTGGGTCTCTGCACTATTCCTTGCAGGAGGGCCACTCAGGAGAGAAATAAACCTTGACTTGTTCACCGAGATTTTGGGTTGTCTGTTACAACCGCAAGTACAATATAATATAACTGTAACTAATATAGTACGTTATACAAAAGTGAACATTCCCTACATAAACAAAAAGATTTCTGAAGTTGGGATAGGGAAAGCATTCACCAAGTAAAAATGCACAGGCCATTGCTTGAAAAGAAAAGGACACACACAGAAGGTGGGAGAAGGGGTACATAACCCAAAGTACTAGAGAACAGAGGCGACATCTAAAAGAGTCTTAGAGATGCTGAGGTCCACCCTGACTGCGAGCTTTTGAAAAAATGCAATGAGTAAAAGGGTCTTTTTTCTTGGCGTGTCGGGAGCAAAAGCAGCCCTCTCTCCTGTCCTCTCAAGCATGGATCAGTGATTGGGTTGAGGACGCTGGGGGCAAACCTATGACTGTCTGGTTAAGACAAGAAAAATCGAACTAGTCCTCCGTCTCTGGTAATAGAGTGGCGTAGTGAAAACGTCCCTGCGGGAGCTAATTCAGGGAGAACTACCACCCACAACCCTTCCATGCATCCTGAACTCAAGTGTGACTGATTGATTACTACAACAGAGACCTGACTATTTTGAAGTTACTAAAAAAATCAAAATGGTCTATTTCCCATTTTACTTTAAATAAATACAATCCTGTTTATATTTGACTCAGTTCTAGAAAGGATGTAAAGTCTATTTTTCAAAGAAAACCATCCGTAAACTTAGTAACACTCACAGCTATCACATAGTGGATTTATGAGAACTTGACTGACATACGGTTTTGGCTCCCCTGGGAAATGGAGGGGAACGGGGCCAGCAAAATGTATTTAACACAGAGATGCCATCCATATCACTGCCACAAATGCAGGAAGACGGACAGAATGAGTAAGGCGCTGCTTATAATTCATTCTCCTTTCTGCTGTGGGACTGGCACTGCCTTAGATGAAACAGAACCACACCAGTTCTAACTTGGCTAGTCTGTGTTTGCAATATCGCTCATAAAACAAGCAGTCTCACCCCATTTCTCCGCAGATATTTTGTAGAAGAGAGCAGCAGGGAGGTCTCAAATCATGACGACTTGATTTCTTTTAAAGAGGACCCGAACGACAGCACACTGCCAGGAGGTGCCATCACATCACACACACCGCCATCCACACTCATCAGTAAGGGCACTCTGTATTTGCACAGCCCTTCTTCCACACTTTGAGCAGCCTCTAAGAACGGCCTCATTAATCTCACACCCTGGGAGGAGGCACCTGGCGGGTGATGGAGCCCCCTGTCAAGAAGGGCTGATGAGGTTCCAAGAGGCAGAGGCCCCACAGTTACTGGCTTAGGGGAGTCGGCAAGGACACTCCAAATGGTTTGGCCAGTTTTTAAAAGGGTGTTGTCCTCTTTATCCCCACTGTAAGGTGACTGCTTGTTAAATGAACTAATAAGTGCCAAGAGCTTAGAACTGTGCCGCTGAAGGGGAGCAGAACATGCCACTCCAACATATGCCTCTTTGCCATAAGGATTATTTTGAGCCAATTAAACAGTAGACAAGAAAAAGCCCTGGAAACCTAGAAGTTACCCTTGTGTAAGGGACATTTACATTGATAAGGGAAATCTCCAATTGTAAGTGTCTCCCTCTGGGTACCAGAAGGATGACTCCAAACCACAGGAGAATCTTAAATCTGTATAACATCCCTACCCTGGTTTACTGCGCCTTCCCTGGTCACCTCCCGTAACTGGCTCCCCTGCTCCTCAACATCTTTCTTTTGTCTTTAGCTGAAGTTGGTAATTAAGGAGGTGGCTTGGGCCATTACGGGGAGTTACTCAGTTTTCCTGAGTATTTCCCATGTATACAGTAGGTATACATGTTATTAAACTTCTGTTTTTCTCTTTTATTGTATTTCTCTTTATTTCATATCTTTTATTTATTATTTTATTTCTCCTTTATTTTTTTTGGTCTTTTATTACAGGGGGCCTCAGCCAAGAACCTAGAAGGGTAGAGAGAAAATTCTTCTTCCTCCCCCACACCAGACGCACTGTAACACTCAGCAAATGTCAGTTACTATTTCCATCGTCACGATGCTACCGACACCGGCTGAGGCGCACCTGCATCACTAGTACACACTGGAGACAGCTCAGAAGCAGAGGGAAGCTGCAAGCCCCAAATGCGATGGGGGAAGTAGGAGGTGATAAGAGGCTCTGGAGAAACTCACTCAGCAGCTATTTGCTGAATATTTTGTGCCCGGCACTGTGCTGGCCCCTGGGGATAAAGATATCAGTAAGACCCTGCTCCAGAAGCAAGAAGAGGCAGACAGGTGGGGTAAGAGCAAGAATAAGGAAACGGGACGTTGTGGGAACGCACAGGAGGGCACCTGGTTCAGAGAGCAATAATGAGAAAACACGAAAGAACATGAAGGTAGTCACGGCAGAGAATTTTATTGTTTCCGATGGAGGATTTAAGCACAAGTCTTTGTTATCCAATTTAAGCACTTAATGAAAGCATTCCCAAAGTTTTTAAGGCTGTCATTTGGATTTATGAACTGTGCTCTGGGCTATCCTTGATGATTATCCTTTATTATAGTGGGTTGTCTTTTTCTTTTTTTTTTTTTTTTTTAACAACATCTACTCTGCAGAACTGCATACTCTCTGGCCACCCCAGAGTAAACAGGAACGCCCTGTGCTTTCTGCCAAAAAAGGCTTTCACACTGGGGCCTCCGTACCACAGGGGGAAGTGCATCTGAGGGGCACTGCTGCGAGACAAAATACCACAACCGACAAAAGGCCCCTTTCTAACCTGCGCCTCTGGGCCAGGATGCCAGGCCCTTCCTCTAACTCTGGCCAACTGGTCTTGGTGACTGGTCTTGGCAAATGTGGAATGATGGTGACAGCTCCCTAAGCAGCTCCTGATTGGAGTCCCAAAGGTTAAGGGACCTGCCCCGAAGTCACTTGAGGAGTTTACCTGTGGGATTAACCGCCCTGGGGCTCCGATCCTGATGGATGGTGAGAGTTACAGCAGCAGAGGCAGCTCTGCCCTGTGACTTTCGCAGGGGAAGATTAGCTGGCCCAAACCTCACATTTCATAGATTAGGACACTGAGCCATACAGAAGTGATGGGCCTCAAAACCTAGAACCCAAGTGCACTGCTACACCAGCACAAATAAGTTGGCTCCTCGCTCCTCAGGCATAAATAAGCTATTTAATTTGTAATTCACAAAGCCTAGCTGTTTACTTCACAATTCAAAGAAAATCAGTCCTTCAGGAAATGTCTCCCAGGGAGTTAATAAGTACAGTTTATACCTCTGATCTTAAAAGTCTCCATATGGATGTCTCTATCTGCAATTTAATTTCTGCTATTTTGATTTGGTATCATTCCAACAGATAATCTTTAATGCCCCTCATTACCCAGGGACTGGGGAGCCTTGGGCAGACTGTTGCAGCATGGTCCACGGCCATGACCGTAAACCAAGGCATTCCTTCCTGCGGTGCTGCCCAGGTCATCAGGCAGCTGGACCTGGACCCGGGACAGCAGGAATTAAAGGTCAGAGTTATCTTTAAAGGAAATCCCTTTGAGGTACGTTTTTTAAGCTAAGGCAACACAAGGGCCCCCAAAGCCTGTTTTCTGGTACAGTGGAACTATTTTCTAGAATCCTATGCCCCTGAAGTCCCCACGCATCCGGCAGCCATTTTTCTTCCCTAGTGCCAGTTAGTTTTCTTGTTGAGAGCTCCTTTCACCAGTGAAAAATATTACCTACTCTGGAATGTAGCATATTTAAAATACTGCTCTATTCTCCGTGTTGAGGCAGAGAATTAGTGCCCGATAGCGGGGGACGGCAGACGGAGATTGCCGGGAATCTTGACGATAACGAGAAGATGGCACAAATGTGCCACAAAAAGCAGACATGTTTCCCTAAGGCTTCTGTTCTTAGAAGACTGAGTTGATAACACTAATGTGGGCAGCTAAGACCATAAAGAACCTCACACATTGAGGTGACTTGGCTTCTGGGACCCAGTCGCCTTTGCTTCTCTCCCAGTGTCCCTCCATATGGATCGACTGTCACTGCAAAGGAGAGGAGAACTGGAAATCGACCAGTTTGGACAGAGTCGAAAGAGCGAACAGGAACTGTGCTCTGAAGGGGGAGGAGGCGGTATGAACATAAAGGCTGCTTAGATTCCTGTTTCCTAAGAAAGATGATTGTTTCCTAGATTTAACTTCCTTGGCTCAGAAGTTTAGGATTCGCAAAAAAATTAAAAACGCAAACCAAAAAACCCCCACTTTTGAGAAAAAGCTGGATGCGAAAGAAACAGGGGGAAGAAAGTCATATTGAGTGATTAATGATAAAAATTATTTCCGCTCCTTTGGTTCTTTTGTATGAAATGCTGTCAGCCTACAATTAATCATCACCATGATATTAAAAACATTGACTTGTAACTGTTCCTCTTGCTTGTTTTTCTAAAACATCTGTACATCTAAGTATTCACCGCCCAAACTTTTTTTTGGAAGTTGTGCAACTGGGCTTATTCCGGTCATTCTAATTTGCATGCAACTCCCACAGGCTTGCGGGGTTTCGCAGACTTTAAAGAACGGGGCTCACCAACGCGGGGCTGAGTTTAACTTAAAACCCCCCGAGGGGACACACCCGGGCTGGCGGCAGGTCCCCGCGCCCCGCGCCCGGGCAGTGAGCTCGGCCTCCCCGCCCCGCGCCCGCGGGTTCGAGCCCGCCCAGGGGACCCGCAGACAAAGTGGAAACGAGTCAGTACCGGCGGGCGGGTGTCCAGCTTTGGTCTCTAGCTTCCCCTCGGGAGGCGAAGACATGGTGGACTGCGTTTCCCAGGGGCCGGGACGGCGGCGGCGGCGGGCTCGCGGGCCGGGAGGAAGGAGCGCGCGAGCCTGAGCGCCCGGGAGCGAGGGAGGCGCGCGCGTCGGGCGCCGGGGCCGCGCGAGGGAGGGCCGCCCCCCCGCGGCTGCGCGTTGACGTCAGTACGCCCGGCCCGGCCCGCCGGCCCCAGCGCGCCCCGTGTACTGAGCGTGCGCAGTGGACAGCGCCACGTTGGAAGCCGTGGCCGCGGGCAGAGGAGGAGGAGGGTGGCGGGCGAGGGCGGAGCGTCTGTGGTTAGAAGAGCCGGGGGCTGGTGCTGGCGGCGGCGTTCTTCGGAGGCGGGAAAAGGCCCAGCAAGAGGTTGGCATCTCCACGGGCCGCGCTCAGCCAACCCGCCAGATAGACGGTGACGGCGGTGGGGTAGCTGAGCCGCCATAGTGGGGCGCCCGGGGGCCTGATGTGTGTCGCCAGGGAACCGGCCCGTCAGCCTGGTGTCCTCACCCAGCTCACTAATTAATTGCGGAAATGAGACCCCGGGTGGGACCGAGCAGGGGCCCGAGGATAGCAGGGATTTGTTACAAGGCGCTGCAAAGACGGGAGCCTTCTCCCTGGTGAGAAAGGCAGCGCGGGGAAGCCCGGAGACCTGGACGGAGCTCTCGGACGGCTGCGGCTTGCCCCGCTCGCTGCGTTCTTCCTGATGCGTGGATCTGGATTCTGTCCAAGGCTGACCCTTTGCTCTGGATCGCGTCCTTCTCTACGGTTATCCTCTCCTGCACCAGCAGGCCCGCCTTGCGGCCTTAGCGTTCACACATGCCTGATGCCTTAGAAAAGGAAGCACCACCACTTCTCTGGGCTGTGCATCTACCTTTGACGACACAACTGCTCAAAGAGGTTGAGTACGTCACCTCTCTCACTCCCTCCTCAACCCAGTCCAGTCCATCTGGTTTTCATCCGGCTCCTCCAAGACTGCCCTTAACCACGGAAAGTTCTTTTGTCAAGGCCACTCATAACCTCCATGCTGCCTAATCCAGTGGTCATTCTTTCACTCTCATCCTGCTTGACCTCTTAGCAGCACTTGACCTAGCTGACCATCTCCCTTCTTAGCTTCGGGAATGCCACATCACTACCTTGACATCCAGTGGTCGGGCTGGATGCTTCTGCTAACTCTCAGTCGAGTTGGTTCGCTCCTCTTCTAGATTTCTAAACATTTGAGCACCCCAAGGCTCAGCACCAGCCCTCTTCTCTATCCAGACTTTGCTTCAGTGGTCACATACAGGCCGGTGGGTTTGATTTTCATCCATATGCTTATGGATGCCAAATCTGCAAACCCATTTCGCTATCCCTGCCCCTCCACCAATCTCCAGACTCACATCCCACCAGCCCCTTGACCACTCTACCTGAATGTCTAACACAGTGCTGCTCAACACTTTGCATCATGGAGCACATAGAAATGCACATACTGTACATTGATCTTGGACTTTACCTCCACATTTCAACATCACTTAATAGCAGGATAGCCGTGGGCAGGCGGCAGTCATGATATAGTCATCATTGTCTTGTATTCACATGATATAGTAGTCATGGCCTTGCATTCACATCAAAACTTGCAGGTAGGTGTCAGCAGCTTAGAAGAAAATTTGAAAATAGTGGAGCACTCTTTAAGAGATGCTGCATCACTAGCGCTCTTGATGGAATGGGATGAGAAAATCTACAGACACCATTGATTAGGATCTTGAATGGAAAGAAGCTTTAAGGATACCTAACCAATTAGTTTTAGGAATATTTTCCTTCTTATATATGTGCAAGAGTGCTATATGGTTAAAAACTTGTGTCTTAATAAGTCTAAAACATTTCTAAGAAGTATGAAATGAAAATTCTAGGTTAACACACGTGCTGTAGTTTAATTGGCAACTTTTTTCCCTTAGTGGCACATCAAGTTGCATGTTAAGGGTGATGGCATCTTGTATTCAATAACACGGCATTGCTAGGGAACCCTGGGGTAGAAGAAGGGGCCTTCTGAGGAAGGAGTCAAGCTACCCAAGGGCCCTGGTGGCCCCAGTCACCACTGGGCTGCCCTGAGGCCTGAGAGGATGGGTATCTTTCCCTGAGACCTGATCTGGGACTACACTGTTCTGGGACACTGTGGTGTAACAGCCATGTCTAGTTTTACATGTTCAAAGCAGAACTGGTTCATCCACCTACCCACAGATACCTTCCCATTTACAGTAGAATCCAAACTACTCGTTGTAGTGTGGGGTACCTGCCTAATCGATAGCATTTCTACTGAAGAAAATACCATTGTTTGAGGAACTTAGCTTGAAAAAGAACACCCATGTTTCCTAGCCTCCCTTGCAGCTAAGGGTGGCCAAGTGACGTAGTTCTGACCAATGGAATGTAAGTGGAAGTTTGTTGGGGGATTTCTGGGGAAATTTTGCATTCTTGATATGAGGACTGCCCTTCCTCTTGTTGACATCGTCATTCACTCTGCCTTGAATTCAGACACAGGGCGGAAGGCAGAGCAATCATATTGCAGCCATGAGGCAAGCAAAGGCATGGACGACATATGCTGAAGGTGGCGGAGTAGAGAGATCAGACGCACGTGGGACTCTGAGGTTTTGGAGGCTCTGCAGAGCAGTAACTCCCACCTCCAGACTGTTTTATGTGGTAAACAAACCCCTATTAGATCAAGTCCCTCTGGTTGTGTGTTTACATGCAGCCAAATGCAACCCCCAACACTCGTGGCCTACCGGGTCCTGTGTGGTGAGGGCCCTGCCTGCCTCTAGGAGCTCGTCTCTCCTGGCTCCTCTGGCCACGCTGGCCTTTCTGATGCTCCTGCAGTGTGACAAGCTGATTCTTCCCTTTGGGCCTTAGCATTGGCTGTTCCCTCCACCTGGAACCGTCCTCCCCAGATTCTTACATGGCCAGCTCCTCATTCTGGAATCAGCTTTTCAAAGGGCCTACCCTGATCACCAAATCTAAAGAAGCCAGCTCAGGCACTCGACTCATCATTTTGTCTTCACAGCACTTCATCCTCATCCGAAATTCCTCACCTATCTGTCTGGGTGTTACTCTTTCTCCTCTGACCAGCACTGGTGAGTGTCAGCCCCACGAGGGGAGAGACCTTGTCCATCTTGGCCACTGCATTCCCAGAACCCAAAACCAGGGTGGGCACAGAAGAAGCGTTCAATAGATATTCTCCCCCCTTAATTCTGGAGCATAAATACATTTAACTTCTCATAGCTGTTACCTACATGAAGAGCAGCAAGTGAGGACTACGCAGAGAATGAAAAGTACACATAGTATGTAGATAACATGAATACGGCTGCCCACTAATCCTGTGTCACATTTACTTTCACTATTGAGCACGTTTGTGTGTGTGTGTGCATGTGTGTGTGTATGCATGGGTATATTCAGCCCCACGAGTCCTAGATGGTGAGGATCAATGTCAGACACCACCCATCGGACACTTTGTATGTGAACATGCACACTCAGCTATCATTAGAGTTGCTGAGTGAATAATCTTATCTGAAGCTCACTATAACTCTGGGAGTAAGGCAAGTTAACCCATTTTACCAAGAAAATCAAAAGCAAACAAATAAAAGGGAGAAGAAAGGATTGTTGGATGCACGTGGGACACAACTCTGTGGAGTGTGTGCTGGGACCATGGTGAAGCCAGATTTTCTAAGCCCTGATCCCATTTTCCCCCACTATTGGCTGCCTTCTAAGTAGAGTTTTGGGAGCTGTTTCCCCTTCTCAAAGTAGGTTGTTTTCTAATCCCAAATGGTGCTGGAAAAAATGGTACTGAATTTAGGTTACTACTTAATGTGAATGCTGTAAGCACTGGGAAAAGTATTTGAAGAAGAAATAGAAAATGCAGATTCTCTCCTCCATATGTGTATTTTGTAACCTTGGCTACATCACTGAACCTTTCTGAGCCTTGGTTTCCATACCTGCAAGTTGAGGATGTGAACACTAACCTCCCTCTGGGCTGGAGTGAGAATTTAAGGCCGACTTGTACAGCTCTGGGTCATCCCATTTACTCTCTACAAAGTCCTGAGACACAAGGACTTCTCTGCCTTCGTTGATGGAGGAACCGAGCCTGTGAAAGGCCAAACGCAGGGCTTGGTAGCTGGTGGGGGAGACCTGAGAGAACCCCGCTCTTGCCACCATCCTGGTTGCATGTTTGGAAGTGCTTTGTAAACCGTAATACACTATAGAATGTACTATTATCACTGCAAAGGGAGTTTTCATTAGCATTCATGAATACAAGAATTGTCCCTCGGCATATTAAAATAACCTGCCTATCAATCAGTTTGATGAACATTGCTTTCTTTTCCAGGCTGGCCTATATCTTCTGTCTTCTTGTGCTGTTGTCTGACGGATGAGAGTTTTTATATTCTTATTCACTACACAGGGTTTCTCTTCCATTGTTGATATTGCTCAGAAAGAGAGGGCAGCAGTCATTCTCGACTTTGCTTTGTAACATCCAGGATATTTCTTATTATATTATGTTATGGGGGTTTTAAATAATATTAATTTAAATATAATTTATTTGACACCCACACATATACACACAATACTTGAAGAAGATATGCGCATCCCAATGTCAAATAAAAATGATGGAATATCACACGTCTTACACGTGCACACAAGTGAGGAATGTCTTTGGGCTTCAACTTGTCGCTCAGTCGCAGGGTAATTGAGAAGCACTTTGAGGCATTTTTCAAAAGGAATTCAACAGCTAATAAAGGACAGGGAGGTCAATTTTAGTCACACAGGTTACACTTCATCAAGGATATTTTGTCACGTGAAGTTATCCTTAAGCTAAGGATATTTGAAGAGAAAAATAACCAGCCTGAATCTTGGCAAAACATTCCAGTTTTGGCAAAATATCCTCTTATCTTTATTTAGAAGTTAGAAAATAGAAAATGCAAGAAAGATGAGAGTTCTATAACCATGAATACTGATTTTCCACAGAATTGCAAATGCTGTGTAAGTTATTTATGAAAAATGTATTTTAGCAGAGAAATGAGGGTGGGGGTAGATAATTTTATTTCTGGCTCTTTCACTGAGTCGTCATTTGACCTTGT